AGAGTTCAGACCCCACGACCGGACCCCCCCCCCCAAAAAAAGTGTTAAAAATAGAAACCAGAAAAAGTCATTCAATTTTGAAGGAATATTCACGTCACCAGAATATAATAAATTATCATGCATGACCTGAGCAATTTGCCAGAGGGACTCAATTGCATGTGTGATTATTGTAATGCTCTAATTATCTCTGATGGAAATTGTCAATGTTGCCCAGACTAATTTCAATAAATGCCTTCATATATGAGGCAGTTTATTATTTGCTAAGTGAGCACAGTTGTCATCCAGGGGATTGTGCATACAGAACTGAAAAATGAGTGGGTCCTCTGTGTTTTCAACTCTAGTATCATTTACCTTACACTTAGAACTTTCAAAGCAGTATCGAAAAGTAACCAAGAAAAGGCACAGAACAGGAAGAATTTTAGTCATTATGAAGTTCATAAATTTCATTTACATAATTAAAGAGCTGGCCTTCGGGTTTGTCATTATCATCCAGACATCTATAATCAATGTGACATTCATTCCTCTTAATGATGGCCAACTATGATCATACCTCTTTCTTATACACTAAATAATTTAGGTGTTCATGTGATTCAAGATCTACCTAACCCAGGGAACAATTGAAACATACTCAGATTTACTTTGGAAATTACTGATAGTGTTTTGTGTTTTGTACATATATATGAATATGTGTGCAAACAGGAATGAAAATGATGCTGATTCATTTTATATTACTTGTAACAGCTGATAATATTCTAATATTAAATAAGGAAATCAATTAACTGTGGGTGGTTGAGGATATATTTCTCTAATTAGAGATCAAGTGGCAAAGTTTTTGGTTCATTATCCATTTTGTTTGCTATAATATTGAAAACTATGTAACCAATGAAATAGCTCCTTTTCATTGTAGTTTTTTTTTAATGTGTTGGGTCCTGGGGCCTTAGGGCTTTCTCTGACCTTATTTTTGCTCAAGGCTAGCATTCTTTCTCTTGAGCCACAGTTACAGTTGTGGATTTTATGAGAGTTAATGGGAGGCAAGAGTCTACTGGACCTTCCTACCCAGGCTGGCTTATGAACCATGATCATGAGTTCTCAGCCTCCTGAGTAGCTAAGATTTACAGGCATGACTTATTAACGCCTGGCTCATATTGTACTTTTTTGATGCACTAACTGTGTGCCTATATTTCAGATCTGACTTCTAATAATCTTCTAAGGTGCTTCCATGCAATTCCTAATTTCACATCATATATTTCTTTGGAACAAGTATTTCAAAAAGGCATATTTCCCAGAGTAGGAAGGCACAAAGTTTTTATTTGCTGAAGCGAGAGGTCTTCATGAACAAATCCACTGGGGCTCATTAATACATAAGCAATTATCTGGATAAGTATCCCTTAAAGATCCATGTGTTCAGGGTTGGATGCTCAGGATATTGCACTATTTGGAAATAGTAGGACTTTTAAAAGATGGCTCCAAATGTAAAAAATTTTCCAGTTGAGGATTTGGAGATTGAGTTCTACTCTTCCTCCCTTCTTTTCTCTCTCTCTTGGCATACTGGCTCTAAGGAAAACAGTTTTTCCCTGACACATATTCTCCCATCATGACCTAAAAGCATTGCTGCCCACCAATCATAAACTGAAACTTCTGATAGTATGAGCCCAAAGAAACCTTTTTTCCTCAGAATAAGCTAATTATTGCAAGAATTTTATAGTAATGGAAAGCTAAGACAGGAAATTGTTATCAGAAATGATCATTTCTGTTACCATAAACCAGAAGATGTGGAGAAGTCACTGTAATAGTTTCACAGGGGAAGTTTACAAAACTTTGGAGGACTAAGCTGGAAAATGCTAAGAATGTTGTTTCAAGGGTGTAGTGAGTAATTATTGTCAGGGTTTAAAGGTCTAGAATGCTAATAGGAACGTAGAGAGCAAAAGCTATGCTGATGAAGTTTCAGACAAAAATAATTACTCCACTGGAAATTGTACTCAAGGTTCTCCTTGGACTGTGGGAAAGAATTGGAATGCCTTGAGAATATGTGGGAGCCTGATTTTAGGTAAATGTTATGGATTCAGCCTAATTCACACAGTGGCTCGGGCATTAGTGGCTTCCTTTAGCTAAATCCACAGTGACAATCAGGAGCAAAGAGGAGCAGAGAAAAAAGTTAGATTTGCATCTGGCCAGAAAAGAAATACACTGTTCTCAGTTCTTTTTTTCTTTGTTTTTAGTTTGATTTATACCGTGGTGTCACTGATTTTTTTTATTTCTGTGCCCTTTGTCTTGATTATAAGTTTATCTGATTTGTGAAAGGGGAGAGGAATCATAGAAATGGTGGGACAAAGGATGAACCAATACAATAATGACATTAACTAGACACTATGTTGGAAATGAACTATAAAATTGCTGGGGGTGGAAACAGTAGAAAATGAAGAGGGTAACACTGTTCAAAAAGAAATGTACTTATTACCTTCCTTATGTTACTGTAACTCCTCTGAGCATCACCTTTACAATACAAAAAGAAGAGTGCATTTGCTAAAGACAGTATTGTATATAAAAAGGAGTATTTGGTTGCATCGGGATAATAGGAAGGTCTGAAGATCATATTAAGAAATCTGCAAGGGTACATCAAACATCACAGGTTCAATAATGTAGAAATGCAAATATGTTATAAGGATTTTCGTTTGAGAAGTAAGCACCAGGTGTTCCATCTACACAAAACCATCTAAGAGCTTGTTTGTTTTTGTTCAGCTGGCAAGCTGCTTAGCAGATGTCATTTCCAAGATTCAAGATAAATCAGGTACTACTCCCACCCAGTGGCACTTGCATTTGATGTTGATTTTACATGTATTTAGAAATCAAGAGTTCTGTATTCATGGAGGCTTCCACTAAGTTTTCAAAGAACAACTTGAGAAGCCAGACAGTGATTTGAGGTGAGTCTCTCAAGCAGGACATGATGGTGATATTTGAAGCTATAAGCATAGAGCTGCAATGGAAACCCCAAAATGTGGAAGCATCAATAACATGGAATGGCTATGAGAGAAGCTAATGATAGCATGCAATGACAGCAAAATAGAACAGCCTGTGGTCTGCAATCACTACAACTGTAGCAAAAGCATGCTCAGAATCCCCTATCTTGCCAGTGTCACAGCCAATATTGACCATTAACATACAGGGTGTTTACCCTGTATCTTAAGCCTTAACTATTTCCCTGATCCTCCTTTTTATCTAAGTCTTCCCTTTTAGAGAGGAAATATGCCCCAAACCTAACAGCATTTACCTTAGAATATGTAAAATGAACTTTACAATTTAGGCGGGAAGGGGGGGGGGAGAATGTAGTTGTGGCAGTGGGAGGGAAGGGATGGTAGGGAAAAAACAAAGGAGGAGGCAACAATGCTTGATAAGAAATGTACTCATTACCTTGCTCATGTAACTGTAACTCCTCTGTACAGTGTTTTCAATAAAAAAAACATTTAAATAAAAGAATATGTAAAACAAATTTTACAGAAGTACATGGCTGAGTTTACTTTAAGGCTTCAATGGACTTTGTAATGGACTTGTGAGCAAGTTTGAAAACTAAGAGAAATCTGAGGACTCTTAGTAACTAAATCTCGTAATTTCATATTATGAGACACACATGAGCTTTTGGATTCTGGGAGCAGAATGGTGGCGTTTGTATATGAATTCTACGAAGGTGCAAATTTGAAAAACTTGTCTTTAAACAGTGCCTGTGGCATGATTGGAAGTAGTGGAATCTTTAGGGAGTGGAGGAAGCTAGGTTTAGTGGGGATGCCATTGTAGAGGCATCTCCACACTCTTCCTATCCCGTTGTTTCTGACTATGAACAAGGGCTTTTGCTCCACTATGCACTTCATTGTAGTCTAAAGGCAATTAGGAACCAGAACCTCTGAAACTGAGTCTTTTGTCTTTATATGTTGATTATCCCCATCAGTCTTCAGCCAGTTGAGACAATTGGTGTCATGTGAAGTTGAGAGACAAATATTGAACACCTGGACTTCCAAGTGTTGGACATCTAATGGCATATGTACATTAACATTCAAATAATTCAAGCCTTCATATCAATGTAATTGATTATAGGGACCCTGTTATTGTGTTATGGTGCAGAGTATAGTATACTACTCAAACAGGCCAGATTATAGAAAAAAAATAAATCTTCCGATATATTTCTCCTCTACAGCAAAGGGTTGTATTACTGTCAGTTGTCTTCAGTTTTACAATAACAAGGATGATGCTGTGATAGTGAAAGAAACCTTCTGTGGAACTAGAAATATGGTTCCAAACTAAAAGATGTATAGTGAGAGTGGCTAAGTCAAAGCATTGTAGAATATGACATATTATTCACAAGATATGCCAGGAATGGAAGTGGCACTGCCACTGCATAGAAAACCTAAGAGGTTCCTGGGTGAACCAGAATGTAGGTAGGTTCCAAGATTATTCTAATCAGAACCATGGAGATGATAAAAACATAGGTTAGATAAACTACAAGATAGGGTTCTAAATGACATTGGGTTTTATCAGGGCTGATACAGACAGTTGGACATACAGAGAGCTAGAATCTCTTTGTGCTAGAGTAAACATGTACTTGTTTTGTTTTACTTTTTATTTTCAGTTGAAGATGAATCTTGGAAAAATGTTTTAGAAACAAAAGATATAAGACATTTTGTAGCTCTTGGTTATCATTTTTTTCTCTTGGAAGAAGATGCACTGATCATAGAGCTAGGGAAAGGCAACCATGTGTGAATCAAAAGAATTATGGAGGACAAGAATATTGACCTATTTATACTGATGAAATTGAACAATATATAATTCAGATTTGTTTGGAAGTAACAGCAGTAGGCTTTGTAAATATCTTCTTATTTTCTATATATTAATTTGCAAGAGTTGTACTATATGTTCTGACTACAGCTGAAATTTTAAAAAGAAAAACTCAATGACAAGTGACAAATTCAAAATGCTTTTATTTATACTGAAGTTTAGCAAGTACATTTTTAACAAAGTAAATGTACTTTAACTTAACATATGGTAAAACAGAGAAACTATACATGTAAATTTCTAATCTCTAACACACTACCATATTTTTTTTCCTTGAAAGACAAAAAGCCAAGCTGAAATGAGCATAGAAAAGCATCAAATACAATCAAGTTACTTTAGCCATTAGGATTTTGATCCTATTCTTAAACTGGGAAATCTAATGCGAAGACAAGGTTTAGATCATTGCCTTTACAATATACACACATTCCTTTCAAAAGTGTAACATTGATTGGGTATTTGCTTCAATAAGGAAAGCTTTGCTGATAAACACAACTGAAATGTTTCCATGTTGAACAGTTTCAGAGACAAACTGGAATCACAAGCATCTTCATTTATGTAAAGCCAGCAGGGACCTTTCAGGCCGAATAAAACTGTTGTGCCATTGCTAAACAGTAATAGTTACCTCCTTTAAAAAAAAGAAAACAAGTTAGTTCTGTGGAATAATTCTGATATATACTTAAACACACTAAAACTTTTATCTCCAAGAAACAAAAATAAATTAACACAACAGGCTTGGTTTAATATAGTGGTAAATTTGAACTTAATGTATGTTAATGTGTCAGTTTTCAAAGATTCTTTGAGTTTCATTCTACAGCTCGGTTTGTCTTTCCACAGCATTGAAGACAGTGAAGACTGATAGACTTTCCATAAACTATGTTACCATGCCTATAGTGAGCTATATATTTTTTTCCTTTTCTTTACATAATGTTACAATTGAAGTCTCCATGGTTTACCAAAAACAGGGGATGGAGGCTAGTTTTTGATCTAAAATAATGACACTATACATGTACAATTTCCTTTTTCCCAGCTCAACCTAAGACTGTGTATACTGTATGAAGGGAGACTTAGTCTGAATATCATTTTTAGTGTGATGGTGATCGAACCAATATTCATTTACGTGCTGGTAAGCCAAAGAGTCCATTACATACTACAGTTAGATAACATCTATGATGTTATCTAAAAGTTACCATTGGAAATTAAAGGGAAAAAATTCTCCATCTTTTTGCCTTAACATTGTTATCCACAAAAATATGAATAATTTAGTAAAAGTCCATTACCTTTTCTTAAGAAACAGTTAAAATGTACATATTTGTGAATAAATTGTGCCATCATCACATATGACCAAGAGAAAATTACATTATCATGCTAGACTGATATGCCCAGTACAAAATTAACTCAGTCTGCTAAAGCTTACCATTTTAAGGAAAAAACCACATTATTTTAAAAACCTTATGTAAAATTTTATATTATTTATTCCTTTTGTGTAGATAGTATCATGGTAAGTTAGTAAAATTTTCTTGAAAACATCATAGAAGTAAAACTGCAAGTGTGGCACAGTAATGGAAGAATAAAAGAATTGAATCTGTTTAGAGAGTTGGAGGGCTATATTTCAATAGGGGACAACCAAATATTTTCCCCAAGAAACCTGTAGAAATCACCTACATTTTTTCAGGGACCTGAAGAAACACATTTGTGCTTTTGGAAGCTGATCATCTTTCACCCCAGAGAATTGCTAAGGCTCCTTTGTGAATGGACTTGGATAATATTTCCTGTGATGAAATTGACCAGTTTTAGTTGCTCAGCCTTTCTAGTCTACTTCATCCACTGTATACACAGCCCTCATTTCAAAGAAAAATTTCAACATCAAGTGGCAAAGTCATTTTACCAAGATTGAAATTTATACAACACTGCAAAACTTAGATCATGCAGTACAAATTGTGAACGTTACAAACTTGAAAACAGTAACAAAACAGATTATGTTCTCTACAAAAAAAGTGCAGAAATACAGTAATGAATGGCAAAAGACAATCACCATTTGTTCCTTACACAAAAAAGAATTTCTGAAAAATTTATTATGCTTAATACTTTTTTAATTAAAAGGCAAACATATCTACTCAGACCCTCCATTAAATGTGCCTGCTTATAGGCCTATCAGAAAGTTTCCACAGCAGCTTGAAAATCCAAAGAAAAACTAGGCTAGCAAAAAGACAGTACTAATGTGATTGTTTTAACCTAGAATACAATAAATTAAAATTTCACAGTAGTAAAACCTTTTCTCTCAATTTTGAGAATAGTAGCCAAACAGATTTCTTTGGGCCTACTGTTGACATGCATCCATTTGCTGTTTTACATATTCCAATCCTGAATGATCATAGGAAGAAGCCAGTATTTGACCTGCTAACTGACACTGATTCTTAGAGCAATCTCAAAGTTGCCACATTTCAATTTCAAAATGCATTTGAGCTATAATATGAGTGATTTATCATTTAGTAGTAGCTGTCAAAGTAAACTGCTAGATAAACCAAAAACATCTGGAACCATAAACAGAAGAGAGCTGTAGCTGAATTTTAATCCAAACCCGGCATGCTCACTTCATTAGGAACAGGAAACAGCTAATTAGTAATTTAATGTTTCATGTTTTTAAAAGAGTTTGTACTTGAGCTTCAAACAGAGATGATCTTATATGCATTCTGGATGTAAACAAGATTAAAGACCAGGAAAAGCAATGAGCAAAGCTTCTCCAGAGGAATGTTAGCAGTTGGGAACTTACAAGGAGAGACACACACTGGCATTTGGGGAAAGCTGGCACAGTTTATTGCTGTAAGATTTATCAGATAGGTAAAAGGGAGAATTTGATATATAAAACATGGTCATTTTTTAAACATACAAATGCAAGCTCATGCAGTCTTCTTAGCATAGCATTGCCTGACATGGGCAGACCCCACAGCAGAGAAGGCTGGCATGGCCTTTTCCATATTGGAGACCTTCTGTAATGAGCTGAATTATCTAGCCTTCAAAGTCCACAACTGGGTTTCCCAAGCCCCAGGAAGTGTGAGACTTGCATCCTGCGTATGTATTTCAAAACTGAAAGGAATAGCTAAAAACAAATGTCATAAAGAAAGAAGATATGCTGGAAAAGTCCAGGAAAAAAATAACACCCCACATAAGGCCTACTTATGGTTCAACCAAGTTAAATAAAATATCTCTCTTTGTAAAGATACAAAAGTGTCTTATTAGCTAACTTAATTTGAACTTGCTGTTTGATTCCTCATACCATTCTATAGATACTGCCTGAATACATAAGGGGGAGATAATTTTAGATATTACATTTTGTTATTCATAATTATTATTCATTTGATATTTGATATCAAAAAATTTTCATTTGATTTGCCTCAGTCCTTCTTAATGACTTCATGACACCAGAAACCAAATCCTGTGCATTTGAATGAAAAATTCTTCAGAGCTTACAGTATCTAAAATGTCACATTGATTTGAATTAAGGTAGTATCTAAGAAATGAGCAGGGAGGGGGATCATTCCAACAGAAATTTTACATAATGCAACAGGAAACTGATTATTAGGGAATGGACAAAATCTCAATTGGCTCTTGGCATAAGATGAGTAGAGCTTTTGTCACATCAAAATTTAAATATAACACAAGGTATTAGATTTTGCATGGAAGGAGAGCACCTTTGGTGAGGCATTAAATGATTTGATCATGGAAATACTGCTCTATTTGATTCATAAGAAGCATGAAAATGATGACATATGTCTGCCACCGTCTGTGGCCAGGTCACCACTAAGTAAACAGTTAATATTTCAGGCCATTTCCTGGGCAATTCAAGCCAAATAACCCATTTAGTCCTAGTCACTGAACATGTTAAGATATCTGACCATGTCTAGATTAGACGGTGAATTATAGAAAATATCCATAATGTTAATAACCCATCATCTGACTTTCTCCTTTCTTAGATGTCTAATAGACTTTCCTTCTGTTTCCTTATTAATAAAAAAACAAAGAAGAAGGACAATTGGGGATAGGAAAAGAGAAGAAAGAACAAAGGAGGTATTGGGGGTATCTTTTTTTTTTATCTTCTTTAAAGGTAAGGAATGTCCTAATATTAAGGAGTTCAATATTTTGCTGCAATATAAAACATTCAATGGAAAATGGAAAAAAATCTAGAAATTAGAGCTCCTTATGTATCTTTAGAAAACACAGCAGGCAACATCTTTTTTCTCCTATAAAAATGAGATTCTAGGATGCAATAAGAAATATTGATCATTTGTACAATTGAATTGCCTCCTGATTTAATTTTTGTCAAATATCATGTTGGACAAATATAAAGCTCTTTCCTGATAACCAAAGCTTAAAGTAGGTGTGATTGCATTTTATTTTCTCCCATACCCTCTAGAAATAGCATTTTCTCTATCTTAAGTCTTCTTCCACCTACTTACCCCATTAGGAGTTTGTTGTGTGGATAAATGTAATGTTTATGAACTCCTTTGGACGAAAGGGGTTAATGAAAGTATTATGTTCAATGACCTTTTTTTAGCCCCTAAAACTTGTGAGGCCCATTCCCTAGCACATCTCTCCTGTATGTGCAAGGTTCTATTGATCAGTCATAAACAAATAGTAATTGAAGATTCCATATTATAAGAATTTGAATATGAATTCTAAAGAATTACAACACTAGGTAAGCAGGTAACTGCTACAGCACCCTATCCGTGCCTATGATCAGTTGGAGTTCCGGCATCAGTGTTCATGCTGCACAGAGAAAACAATAAAACCTGGTCAAAATTTCATTCCAACAAAGAAAATTCAAAATCTATTCAATGTACTTCACTGAAAACCAAAAACTCATTTTTATACCATTTTTACTGTTTTATATATGTTTAAAATTGAAGTAAATCTATATGCAATAAATGTATTATTCCATTAGCTCTATCCATTGATCAAATATTCACTTTGGTGAGTCACATTATATTAAAATAAAATTATACAAAGGTGAGTAAAATTGTAGATTAAGACTTAATGTTATTCTCTAAGGGTTATATCAGTAATGTAAAAAATGGTGTAAATGATATTTCCTAATTCTAAAATATGCTGATGAGCCCCTTGAGCATGTTTGACTGCTTTATAATCTGCAGCAAAATGCATGACTAGCTTAATAAGCTGGCAATTAGGAGCTTTTCTGTTTTTCTCCATGGGCTAAAATGTAAGCAAAGATCTGTTACAGATTCTATAAGTCAAAATCTTTGTTAAGGGTTTCAATTTCCCTCAGGATGAGATATCCTTCTCTGACAAAAATAGTGGTTATTTGAAAGTAACTGCTCATTTTTGTTTTGTAGAAAACCACTACATGTGCTGTACCTTGTTTTCTGGAAATTTAGTTTATGTATATAATTAAATGCCTTTGTGATTTTTCCTACATGTTTACTTACAAGTGTTTCTTCATCACTTGCTCACCTGTTTAAACAAAAGGACTCTTTTAAGTACTAATAGGCTTCATTACAGGCAGACTTTAGGTTATTCAACTTTTCTTTGGTGGCAGATAAGCTATTTTTGAACAAATGGAAATATAGAAACTAAATTCTAAGATGTAGGTTCTTTAAGTTGCTTAATTAA